GCGGGTTCTGACCCGTGTGCAAAGTTTCAAGAGTTTTCGAGCATGTTAAGGGCCCCAAAAGTGCCCGAATAGTCGTTAGAAAAATAAAAGAAAAAAAAAAAAATAATCGGAAGGAAAACAATAGGGCCTTCGCCCTTTCAGGGCTTGGGCCCTAAAAATGACAGGCGGTATAAGTATGGTGAGTGAGCCGGGGTCACGGAGGGAGGAGGCGCGGGCGGCTTGTCAGCCACTATCTGTCAGAGTGAATTAGAAACAATCAGGGGCGACTGAAAGGGAAGGTGATTGTTATTAAGCAGCGGGGCTGCGAGCAAGCTCCCCCAGATGTGGCCATGCATATAAAAGAACAGGAAGCCAGCAGTTTAATTCAGGAAGCGCTAGCGAACACGGCCCGCACAAAGGAGGAAGGAGGAGGGGGAGGGATGAGAGCAGGAGAAAAAGGCCTTTTGTTACTAATAAGCTGGAAGTTACTTTGATAACAGGCAAGGGTTAGGCACCGGAATAGAGGCAGCTCCCCCTTCCTCTACGCCGCTGTCTCACGTGTGCGCGCGCTTGTTTCATCCTCAATTCATATTTTCAGGAGGACAGGCAGCACCAGTCAGTCAATATCTGTGGGGGAATATAATGGGAGTGGAGAAATAAGGGGTGAAATGTAGATAAGTTGACCTTAACAAGGGTGAGGAGAAGAGACAGCCACAGCCATATATCAATTACCCAGCTGCAATCACACTCTGATGATGTGGGAGAGGGTTCGGGATGGACGACCCCTCCCTCCGCCGTCCCTTGACGATCTCTCTCTCTCTCTGACTCTCTCTCTCTCTCGTTTTCCTGTCTCTCTTTCCACAACCAGCTCGGGGAAGCTCCTCGGAGGCAGCCATCATGACCGCAGATTGTAGTCAGGGGCGACGGGGGTGGGGGGGGGGACGTGTACAATATGTTTTTCAAAGGGAACGGAGACTCGATTTGAATGATAAGAAAAGACGCTAATCTGCTGCGCTCTGGCCTCAAAGGCACATCCAGTCTGACACTCCAGCCCTCCCTCCACATGGGGAAACACGCACGCTCGCACGCATGCTGACCCGAAGGACTCTGTCGCACACGTCCAAACACAGCCGGCGAGTAGCTAGCTACAAACATCAGGAACATCAAACATGGCTACTTTCGTGCAACTTTGACAACGGTGACACCAGGCTGCCAGAACTCTCTGCGCAGAAACAAACGAAACTGAGGACTTTGGGTAGACGCTCATTGTGATAGTTAGTACAATTGTACAACGCGCTGTTAATATATGTAAGCTTGCATCACCTTACGTGGAGGAGAGAGTCTCTAGAGAGAGCGGTTGTGTTTGTTCTCCCCAACCTGTCAAGAGAGACTGCTAACTTCAGCTATGCAAATACTTCACCAGTCGAAAATAAAAAAAAAAATGAAGAGTGTCATTCGAAAAGTCTGTCTTTCTTTAAATGATGGCAACACTTTGATTTCCAGCTTTCTTTGTAGCGAGAGATATCTATGGAAATTATCCCTGCCTTGAGATTTTTTTTTTTTTTTGATCCTGTAATAGCTTTAACGGTTAAATAAAAGCCACGTTTCCTTCTGAGATAGAAACACAGCAGATTCAGAATCATGTCACCCGTCTCTGTTTTTTAAGCATGATGTGAGGATCTGTAACTGGAGGGTTGTGGTGTTAAACATGCTATTGCTAAATATTACCTCAGGGAGTAACAGTGTATGTATATATATAACACCTGAGAGAGGGAGAGAATGAGAGGGGGTGAAGTGAAGTGAGGGGGAGTGGAGCACGTTACAAAAATCCAGGCGAGACACATATGGACTGATTGCAAATTAGCGAGAGAAGAGAGGAAGAATGTTAGAGAGGGATAAAGAAAGCGGAGGAGAAAGAAAGAGGGGTAGTGATAGTTCACCTGAAAATACATTTCTGCATCATTTACATGCAAGTGTAAAAGGGGAAATTTAGCAGAATGTCCGAGCTGCTCTATTCCACGCAATGAAAGTGGATGGGGACTGGAAAAGGAGTGCACAATTAAAATGTATAATCCATGCATCATAAATGTGGTCCTTATGGCTTATATGAACTATTTTCAAGTCGTCTGAGCTATAGAGTTCAACGGTTATTTGATTTAAAGGAACATTTATTTGAAAATCAACCAAAATACAAGCATACCTGTTCACTTAAACAGGAGAAAATTCAAGCATTGCAGATAAGAAAAATATTCATTTAAAGATATATGTATATAAACAATATAGTTTGTTTATGCGTCATTCTCAATGCTTCATTGGTTGATATTTCCTGCCTGGGATAATCATGGGTTGTGAGTTATTTTCACCAGATATTCTGCTGATAAACATATTTTACAAGTAAGTAATCATGACAAGTGGGATCATAACAACCTCATATTGCACAGTAGGTCTGACTGTAATGGTTTATGTTTTTTTGTTAAAAATCTTTTCCCCTATGTAGAAAATGAATGAGAATTTTACTTCTAATACCCAAATGTTGCATTCTACAAGATAGCTTTGTGTGAAGAACAGACTGAAGTGTTTTTCATTATTAACTGAAAATCTTGCTTGACAGCTGTGGTCACCATCAGCTTCCATTGTATGGAACAGAGCAGCTTGGGCATTCTATTATACATAAACCCATTTATCGTCCTACTGAAGAAAGTTTTGAAAAACATGAGGGTGGGAAAATGATTGATTTTTGAGTGAACTGTTCCTTTAAGGAAAAAGAAGAGAGATTGTGAGATTGATAAAGTTACAATGAAGAGAGAGAGATGGTCCATGTAGTCCTATCGTCTCTTCTCCTCTCAGGACATGTCTTAGATTTCAGTGTGATTAGATAGTCAGGGATAGAGAGATGTTCTGAGGGAGTATTAGTAATTAATCACTACTGAAGCTGGGATTTCCACTCTCACTGTCTCGTCTACATACACACACGCACACGCTCGCACACACACAGTTCCTTTAACCATTCAACAAAACACAAAGAGAAGGGAAAAAACACCAGAAAACTAAATAAATAGAAATAAAAATAGCAAAACAATGCAACAAAAAATGCATTAAGCAGAGGCTTAAGAGGCAATCGGTTCTCTTTGTGGCATGTGCTAATTATTACCGTGCCCATAATGGGCTCCAGTCTCCTCCATAGACGATGTCTTAACACCTATCATTACTGAATGAAAGGGTGACCATAAAAAGAGAAAATGGAAAAAAAAAAAAAAAATCAGAGGCCTCTGCTTACAGCTCTTACCATCACTTCCCAATCTTTTTTTTTTCCTTCTATTTTTATTTTTTTATTTTTTTCTGTACTATGAATAAATTTAGTCTGTCCCGGACGTGAAAATGTCAAATACCTAAAATACACCTAGGCTAAATAGCATATTAATTTTTAATGCTCCTTCATCCTATGCTGCTATTCTCATATCTAGTATGTCTGCCAACAGCTGTTGCAGGCTCTCTCATAGGGGATTTATAATCTATCTAAAAGTGTGCTGGAGCATTGTTCAGGAGGAGGAGGAGAAGGAGGAGGGGGAGACTTTTTATATATAGTCTGCTTTTAGGCTACCCCTTATCCCTCCCCCCAAAAAAAAAAAAATAAATAAATAAATAAAAATTAAATCATTACTACCTTTTTTTCATTCTTGATTTTGATTAAAAAAAAAAACACTCTTTATGATCCAAACATGCAATAAAATCCAAAGTCAGACATGTCATCGCGATACATAGAGTAAGTTATCATAATGGAATCTGCCAATAATTAAGCAAAATGTAAAACTAATTGAAAATTAAAGGTAAATGTGTAACAATTAATTAATAAATAGAATCAAATTTACTCTTTAAAACATATGACAATTTACCCTGAAATGACATTTTTCTCAGAACACATTAACCTTTCAATTAAAATCAACTGTCATTATAGCTGTCTCTAGTCTAAATATACACTACCATACAAATATTTATGATTATGTAAGATTGTTGTTGTGTTTTTAAAAGTAAATTAAAACACATTCACATGTAATATTGTAAAATATGATTATATTAACTATTTAAATTATCTTTAAAGTTTTTTTTCAGCATCATTACTCCAGTCTTCAGTGTCACATGATCCTTCAGAAATGATTCTGATGATTTGATGCTCAAGAAACATTTCTTATTATTATCATTGTTGAAAATAGTTGTGCTGCATATATTTTTGTGGAAACTGAATTGATGAATAGAAGAATATATTAAAACTTTATTTTAATTATATTATTTATTTAAAATATAAATGTTATGTACATGCATTTACTGTCACTTTTGATCAATGTAATACACCCTTACTGAATAAAAGTATACAAATTATGTAAAAAAAAAAAATAACAGTGTATATTAATATGATGATATTATAATTTTGAAAAGTTGGATAGTAAAGTTCAATAAAATTTTGAGAGCATATTTGAAACTCGCATACAAAACCACAGCTAACGCACAATAAGTAATCAGACTTATGTCGCAAAATCTTTTAGATACTAAGACACAATCCTTTAGACAACTAGCTCCAGTCTACCCTACTGTATATCTTTTATATGTATTTCAATCTTAAAAACAAAAAGAAAATTCATGATGGCCACACATGAAACATGTCACAGAAAAGGCTTGAAACAGAATTAGAGAAGCCATCACTCTAAATTGGGCTTTTATATGTCATTTAGGTGTTCGGCTTAAAGACACATCGCAGAAGAAGATTACAGCCGTTCAGCACAAAACGTGCCACTTCAAATGGACTGTCTGTAAGGGATCAGACTCTGGGATCAGTTAATCTCATCCTGACACTGATGATTTGAGACCAACGGGTAAGTGAGCATGCTTCATATCTTATCCAAGGACCGCTCAAGCGCACAGATCTGGGATCAGAAATGTACGTCCTGTATCTGGTCCAGGAGCGGTGTCACATTACAACTACGGAAAGAAGGAGCGGTGCGGGGCACGAGGTGAACTTTGCTTACCTGATCACTCTAACAGCATACTGGTCCGGGGCCCGTCAGGTTGAAGAGACCGTGACTCACCCCGCCACTGAGTCTGTACGACAACAAGCGATGACAGCAGCGATGAGTCTTACTCTGTCAGCAAGAAAGAGAGAGAGAGAGAGAGAGAGGATGTCAGGCCAAATGTAACAAATTCACTGAATCACAGCAGTAGCACAGAGGTCAAGGAAAAGCAGCCGAAAAAGGTTAAAGATGAAATCAAAGCCGTGGCTCAGAGCGCTTCTGAAAATCTATCCCAGCAAGGCAAGGCCACCGCTGACGCGCTCGGCAGACAAGAAGCTAAATACTGCACGCCACTCTGGGATCTTTCATTTTCAGCCGATCAATAAGGACTTATATTTATCAGGATTCCAAGCAGCTGCCACATCTGACAACCTCCACTTCATTTTCGCACTCCACCCTCCCTCCCTCTCTCTCTCTCTCCCTTTCTCCCTCTCTATCCATCCATCGTCCAGCCCGTCTTACGCGGCCTCATGCTAAATCGGGACCTATCGACCACCAAAGCGAAACGGGGTGCCGGCTTCAGCCCTCACGTACAACCGCGCTCCTGCCGCGTCCCCCTACTAATACTGGGTTAAGAAGCATGCGTTTTGTCATTAGCCTGTTGGCTCAGGCCCATTTCCCTGCTCTCTTTGTTCCATGGCACGCCACGAAGCCTGCCAAGAAAATGGCGGCGTAAAACACGTACACTTCACCACTTTGTTTCCCCCGTGCAAAAGTGAGTGAGCGATTTGAAAATGCAGATATATTTAGGGAGGAAAAGCAGGGGGGAAATAAGAAACTCTCCAATTTAAATCATTCAGAGAAGCAGAAGATTTGCTGAGAGGGCGGAGAAGGCCGAGTTAAAATAGCTCAATCTCTAATCATCTGTACGACAATATTTGCTGTGAGGCATTCTAAATAGATTATCGCTGGTCCATCTGCCTCATCACTGATTTATAAGGCGTTAAGCTGCTTTCCAAAGGCAAGGACTTCCTTTGCAGCTACAGTGGAAGGATTCTTGTTCAAATCAGGGCCAATGGCAGCTGAACAAGCCCGTCGCTCACAGTAAAGGAGTTTCTGCTTTCAGCAAGAGAGAGAGAGAGGGAGAGAGGGAGAGGAAATAAAAATAGGATGGCACTATCCGGTTTGGAGTCACCACATGAAGCAGTTTGAATCCAAAAAATTTCTATCTCTGAATTTTTTTTTTTTTTTTTTTTAGGAGGAGGGGAGGAAGTGAAAAACACACACACAAACATACACACACAAAACAAGGGACATCATTAACATATGAATACTGTATGCAAATGGTTAGAAGAGAGCAGATGTTGGCGCATTTAATTGACCTATATGTGAATTGCATCCAAACCTTCGCACAGAGTGTAACACTGGATGGCCGGCACTGGCTTCCTTACACAACCCAAACAGGGAGGAAATGAGGGGAGGGTTTGTGCTTGAGAGACAGAGAGAGAGAGAGAGAGAGAGAGGAGGGAAAGAAGAGAGATAGAGATGTGTAAAGAGAGGCTGAGACAGATGAAGACAAAGAAACCCGTGTCGGTAAACGGCACGGCCACAGAGATGACTAAACGCATTGGCTGTCAGCTCCGCGCGTCTCTTATGGATGACATCACTGCGCCGCACAGGAAATCAATCAAGCTGTGGCCTTTAGGGAACATGAGCGTCGCTGACAGGTTATGAGCTGCAACCCGTGTTACGTTCAGTTTATCCAACTCAACTCTTACTTGAACTCTCACTCTGTGCTGACGCTCTGTTTCGTCTAGAGACAACGGGGAAAAAAGAAAAGGGGGATGGAGGGGTGGAGTCATAGCGCTTCTGTTGCTAAGTTTTGCATGGGTGAACTATAAGAACCACGAATGCTAATTTAATCTGGGCTTTGCCCTTTCTTTCCCCCTTTCTCCCTCCTGCTCGGGAATGTCATTAAATTGTATTAAACAGCCTTTTGTCCACAGGGCAAGGACCACCCGATATATGATAATGCATTAATGCCCTGGTGCTACAGCCACTGAGCTGAGACGCTCTTTAAGGCCGCGGGCTGAGCGGCAAACACATGGAGCGCTCTAGTCTGAGTATGGGAGTTTGCATGTGCACAACTTATGCACGAGAGAGAGAGAGAGAGAGAGAGAGAGAGAGAGAGAGAGAGAGAGAGAGAGATGCTGGCTAACAAGTGTGACACATACTAATAGAAACATACCTAATAAATTACAAGCTTTCAGGGTCTGGCAAGCTGACATTTTCTCTGTGAGCGGGACAATTTCATATCTGCGGAGCAGGGGAGCAAATTGCATCACGTGGAGATTGCTGGAAGATTAGCATAAAAATTAACACTTAAATTTCAGCTTATTGTCAAGCCTTCTTCTGCTCTTTCTGCAAAACCAACAATCAATTCCTCTTAGAAATCTGATTAGCTTCCATGATACTTATTATCCTAGTCATGTTCCTGCCATCCAGGACTCCCGGACTATTTGTTAAAATAGAATTAAGAGGCTGATAAATCCATAGGTGTCTCTTATATGCACATACCTTCTCACACCCTTCACTTGTCTGATCCTTCATCAGCACTTGCTCATTAAACATGCTGCAGCTACAATATGCATAAGCTACAAGTGCTAGTTTTATGGACTTTTTATAAATACATTAAATAATAATAATTATATTAATAATGTACAAATTCAAATTATGATATGCTGTAATTATGACTACTACTAATAATTATAGCAGTGAATAAAATGTCTCTCTCTATAATATATATATATATATATATATATATATATTCTTTTTATTAATTAATGTAATATTTATTTCAAAAAGTTAATACAACTAGATTTGTGACTAATACTTGTGACTAGCACTTAATTATGACTGATACTAATAAAAATAATATGAATAAAATAAAGATTATAAAGACAAATAAAAAATAAAGACATGAAATAAATACATTTTTATTATGAATTATTATTAATTAATTTAATATTTATTTTAAGAAGTGCATAAAACTATCTAGCTTATTCACTTGTCTTCAATATATTATTATTATTATTATTATTATTATTAATACATAGAAGACACTGTAACAGGAAAGTGCAAACATGGATAATGTGACAACAAATTCAAATGAGGGGAGAAGGTGAAGAAGGAGAAGGAGAAGAACAAGAACAAGAACAAGAACAAGAACAAGAACAAGAAAAAAAGGCTTAATGGATTAAGTTCATCAGTGTTTCCCCCTCAGCTCCGCCACGTGTAAAGTTGCGGTATCCATGTTGACTCTTTCAGTAAGAGCTGTGAAAGTTATCACACATTTTCAAAAGCCTTCATATTGCTGTACTGAAATATCTGTCAATACAGTCCTATTAAAATCACTGCACAAGTATGTAGTGATGAGCAGCGTGCGCTCTGGGTGGCTTTCCAGGTGGAGAGAGAGGGGCTTCATTTTGTTTAAACAAATTCTATTCCATCGCATCCAGATGTCTTTAAGCACAGTCCGTTCACCATGTGCACACTCCAAGATCCACAAAAAAATGTATACAAACATTTATTCATAACGGCATGCCTCTTCACAGACTGAAGAGTTGTCATAGTTCCCTTGAATCTGTTTCAGGGGTAAACTAAGTGTAATGTGAAGCAAAAACAGTGTAACGTGATTAGCCGGAGCGCGCCGCTTCTGTGACCGGGCTCCTTGTTCTCTAGCCAGGCGTCTAAGCTGGGAACGTGTGCTTGTCGTGTGGCCTACAAAAAAAGTGGTTGGACTCAAATCTTGAGGACTGCCAAGACTGCTCAGACATCCCTGCTATGCCATTACCTGAGAGGCTTGGACTTCATAAGTAAAAGTGGGAAGTGAAAGTGAACATGTGACATTCTAAGTGGATAACAAGCACTTCTGCAATGTAGAAGTTCATTTAAACCAGTAACCCTCTCTCTCTCTCTCTCTCTCTCTCATTTTGAGTCTCTCTTTCTAGCCCTGCCTCCTTCCTATCCTCTATTCTTATGTTAACACGGATAATAGGAATGGGCCACCCGGCAGTGAACTTTAAAACTTAAGTCCATGCTCAAGGAAAATAATCCATTTCTCGCCATCCCCTGATGAAACTTAACTCACTTCAAACTTTATGTGTGGGCCCTCTATAGCTCTACCAATACATCTGCTGGCTCCTTAAAGCATATTACTTTTCACACGGTTTAAAAATAATAAACGTGCACTTAGCCGAGCTGTTTTCTCATCCTAATGCCACACAATGTTGGGGAATAATTCAAAAGTCTTTAAGTTCAGAGTAAACACTCTGTTCCTTTGTTGATTGTACAGCTATTTGGTATTTTTTCTTTCTTTCTCTCTCTCTCTCCCTCTGTCTCTTTCTGAGCTTGTTGTGTTTTTACTCTAAACAATACACCCTTCCTTCACATGTGAGCAACACACCTCACTGCCGTTTAATAGGTTAAATCCCGTAGTATGGAGAGTCATATTTTAAAGCGGTGGTTTATTTTTATGAGCGGGTGTAATTAACGCAGCATGTCCTATCTCTTAGTCATCGATGCCAAGGTCTCTATTTAAACAACTTTATTGTGAAATGTTTGCATTCTCAGCATTCGCCAGGCCACACACAGATTATTATTTCATACTTCTCAGCGACGCTCTGAAACGTTTACGCTTTCCAATGGTTATTGTTTTTGATTACAGCTCTGTGGATCATTCTAGAGGAGGACTGACTAGAAAAGATGTTTATACAGACCAAGTGTGAACCTGAAGGCCTCACTCAGGCCAAATGAACGCTCACCACCTGATTTATGAAGCAAAGATTAAACTATTTATGTCCAAGCAGCCTGAGTTGTTTAATTTCTCTGCTTGAGGCCTTAGCTTTGTTATTTTGTTCTTTAATTTTGGTTGCAGAACTGCACATGTTTGACTGTCCTGTATATTTACTGCAATTGAATGTGACTAATCTTTGTTAGTGACATTAATAAAGCGAAAACTTGTTTTTCTCATGTATCCCTACAGCCCCGTCATACAAAAAAACTACATACTACTGATATAACTTTAATAATAATAGTAACAACCATTATTATTATCAGCGTTAATAATGTAA